GACTTGGTTTTACTAAAGATGGCTTGATAGTATTTCAGTGTTTTATGTGGTGCTTGTAGGATGATAATGAAAATTGGGTGGAAATACTGTTTTGGCTAATTTTTCTAGTGTTTGTTCTTGATTGAGGTTGAAAGGGATACCGAAAAGATATTCATTGGGATTCTTCTTGACGTATGGTAATGTTTTGGTATAACTAACTAGTTGGGATGATGATGATTGGAATGTTGGGGTTGAATAAGGATTATATTGACTGACTAATACCGTTTGGTAATTGGGACGTGGTGACTGATAATTAGGCCTAAGGTTTCCTATTGTGGAACCTAAGGGAGTGAAACGGTTAGTAATGGCTAAGGCTGATGAAGAATTTGGGCTTGATTCTTGTTTTACTAGTGGTGGTGGTAGAGTGGATGGAAGTCTCCTTTGATTAGGTCTTCTTGCTGTCATTCTTCCCCTGTAGAAATTCTCTGGTTAGGAAATCAGGGATGCAATTTTGATTACCCTTGATGTATTCGATTTCAAAATAAAAAAAATACTTAATATAGATTGTCATCGTGCTAAAATCTATTTTGATGCAATGTTTTGAACATCTTTTTGTAAAACTTGTTTTGCAGATTTGCAATTGACTTTGACTAAAACTTAGATTTAATAAATCATCTTGAAAATTACTAATACATAATACTATAAATAATATTTCTTTCTTAATATTACTATAGTTATTTTGTGCTAGATTTCATACTCCTGAATGGAAATGAACAATTTGTTCAGGAGATTCGAAGGAAATTGACTATTTGAGAATACATCTGTAACCAATTTCATAGGCATCAGTTTCAACAATTTTGAATGAATTGAGAGTTGGAATGCCAAAACAAGGCAAAGTGTTAACATGTGATTTAATTTGTTTGACAATGGAAGTATGAGTATTGGACCAAGGTAAAGGATTTTCTTTTAGACGATCAAACAAGGGTTTGCATTGTTGCCTAAGATGAGGATAAAATTCTACAACATAATTTAAAGATCCTAGAAATCTCTATAATTGGGTTTTGTCAGTGATTTCATTTAGGAAGTTATCTATAAATTGAATTACTCTATTTATTAGTTGAATGGTTGACTAGTGGATATTGTATCCTAAAAACCTAATTTTGGTTTGGAATAACTTAATTTTGGTTGCTGAGACAACTAACCCATTTGACTTAATTATCCTAACCAACATATTTAAGTGTTTCTAATGCTCATCTATCGATTTGGAATAAATGAGAACATCATCAATATAAACAATTGAGAAATGACTGTATTGATTAAATATTTCATTCATGATGTTCTAAAATTTGTTAGGTGCATTTTTAAGACCGAATGACATTACATTTCATTCATAATGACCAAAGGGAGTGACAAATGCAGTTTTGTATTTATCATCCTTATGAATTTGAATCTGCCAAAATCCAGACTTCATGTCGAATTTTGAGAAGATTACAGCTTGACTAAATCTCTTAATCAAACCTCTTTTGTTAAGAATTAAATACTGCATCCATTCCAAGACTTCATTACGAGGTTTGTAATTAATGATTAACCTAGGAGTTTCTCTTTCTAATTCTGCGTTCTTTTGGACATAGAAAGCAGCATAAGAGCAGAGTGATTTGCTTTTCCTAATGATTCATTTATTGAGAAGTTCTTGGATTTCCGTTTTGCAGAATTCCATAACTTCTTGACTCATTTGAATTGGTTTGGCTTTTGTTGGAATTTTCTTTTCATTAAATTCCTTATTGTAAGGAAGTTTAACAATGTGTTATTTTCTGTGCCAAAAAGCATTGGGAATGTCAGAACAAATTTCGTTAACAAGTTTCTTTTGAAAATTGTCAATGGTTTGTAACAAAGATTTGTTTGTTAATTGTTCTTCAATTCTTTTGTAATTAATTTCTTCTTTTAAGAAATTAATTTGTTGTGATTTTTTGGTGACTATATTGATGGTTTTAAAGATACTATCTTTTTCTAATTGTCTTAATTTTTTGAGATATGTTTTCGTGCAGAACTCAAATGTGATTTTTTGACCTATTTTTGTGGTTATGCAATTGTGGTGTACTTTGAAAGGATATGAAAGAATTATGAAAGGGAGGCCTAAAATGACTGGGTTTAATCAAAACAAATGGAGTTTTAAAACAAACATTGTTTTGATAAATATGGGTTTTCGAGATTTCATATTTTAACTGCATTGGTAACTGATTTGCTGCACTAAGAATTTTTGTTGATTTATGAAAATACTTAGTGGGAATTAAACCTTGTTGAATACAATTCAAGTCTACACCTGAGTCAATTAAGGCAATTGTTTCTAACTTGAAGTCTTCAATTATTATTTTTATTTTAGAATACCATTTTTGGATCCTAATTTTTTGAAGTAATCATAAAAGTAGGCTTTTTGTTGGATTTTTCATGGACTTGGATTCTGATTCTTGGTCGGAGCAAGAATTACTGTGTTTTTCATCATTATTGCTAAGCAAAACTTGTATTTGGATGCTACTGAGATGTGAGTAGATTTCTATGTTTTCTAATTTTAAGGACTTAATTTCTTCCTTAATTTTATTGACTTCTCTTTGTAGATCTTTGACCAAAATTTCTTTCCTAGCCTTATTAAACATTTTCAAGGTTGTGCTAATACAGATTTTTGGGGCCACTTGGGGTTGACTAGTACTGACTTCTTCAAAGGAGATTAACTTCTTAAGTTTCCTTTCTTTAAAAAAAAATGACTTTAATTCAGGGTCATCTACTTTGTTAATTAACTCGATAAGAAGATCTTCTTGTTCTTCTTATTTATTGAGGACTAAAATCTTTTTACAAAAAGTATATGTGCATCATATCTTAATGTTGGGGGGATGAAAGACTACTTAAGGAATTACTTGAAGAAGATGAATTAGAACCTAAATCATCTTCGGATTAACTATGGTCTGTGTCTTTTAATTCTAAGACTTGGATTAACTAGGTTTTCTCTTTATTAGAGATTTTCAACTGATTGATTGTTTTCTTGACTCTACATTTGTTTGCAAAATGATTGAATTTGCCACACTTGTAGCAGTTTCCTTTTTGTTCTTGGTTTTTGGAGTGGAATTTTCTTGAGGGTTTCCTCTTCCCCTTGCTGGACTTGGGTTTCTCGTAAAATTTATTTGTTTCAAAATTCTTATTTTTGAATTTGTTATATTTGGGGTCTCTTCTACTGGAGTACCTATTTGGATACCTATTGTAGGATTCTGATTTTTTTCTTTTTGTTGGATGGAGCAATATGAGGTAATCCGTATTATTTACAAAATGTTCCTAATTCGTATTTGGCTATTGACTTGTCTTTGTTGACTTGTTTTGTAATTTTCATATCAATACACATTTTCAATCATTCTTTTTGGATAATATTAATAATATTTCTGTAAGTAAGGGTATGATATGGTATGATACCTTCTTCATTAAGTAAAATGTCTCTAATTTTATAGGCAAATAGATTTGGTAATCCGTTAATGAATTTTTCTTTTCAAAATGGTTGATTACTATCTTCTCTAAGCATAACTCTGGACATGCAAACATCTTTGTACCACCTAAAATCACTTAGGGTTGGACATCTTAAGTTACTAAGTTGATCATGAATTCTGAAGGTGACATTACTGAGTGTCCCTATGAAATGTTCTATAATGGTGAAAAGTAATGTGTTGAATGCATCTGGGACTCCTCGTCCTATATGCACATCAAAGATGGGTGTTCCATCTTTGTCTCTTTTTGCATTTCTAATTTCATTTTTTGATTGTTCAATGAGATGTTTTTTCCACCAAGAATGAATCATTCCTGTACTTCCAATGACTAAAAGGTCAACAACTTGTGTTTGACTGAGGTTATGATTGGTAATATAACTATTAGCAACCATGGAGATGTGCTGTAATTTGTTCAAAAGTTCTTGTTCTGATAATTCATCTATGTTTATATATATATTGGCCCCTGTGGTCGGGATGAATTTCAGTTTGGTCTCATAGTTTCAATTGTCGCAATTAAAATTCTAGAATTTTATGATCGTCACCAATTTAAAAATAATGAATTAAGTCTTGAGTTGATCTTCTCTTTTTCGCGAAATTAGGAATTGAGAAATATATACAGAGATCGATGGAGATTTAGCTCCATCGCTGTATTAGTGGATTTATCTTTCTAATGCATTAGCGATAAGAAATTGTTATATTGACAATTAAATATACCCTTTAAACTTTTTTGACATGTTTGACAAGAATGGAGATGGCAGGATAAATATTGAGGAACTTATGGAGGTGATGGAAGAGCTTGGTGCCCCAGGGGAAGATGCACGTGAGATGATGCAGCTCCTTGATGCAAATAGTGATGGTTCACTTGTCTCAGATGAGTTTGATTTGTTGCGGACGATCAGGTACAAACCTTTTCTTTTTCTATCTGTGGACCTTCAGTTTCTTGTTTCGCAAGAAAAACTGACAGTTTCAGTGAATTTGATAGTTGTAGATGGTGCAATTTCCATATTTGAATGCATGTAATGACACACCATTTACTCTTTCTATAAATCCTAGGCTTACGTATGTGATCGGCTGCTAGTGACTGAACCGGTTTATTGAAGAGAATTCGGAGGAGAATTTTGAAAGCCGACAACGTCGTTAAGGTAAAGCTGAGGAAGGTGAACCGCCATGCAATTTTGTTTCTTCCTTTCTGGGTCACGCCTGCCAACAACGATGTGAGGGTTAACGTGTCAAAGTGCAAGAAAAATGCATGTCATGGCTTGTATTGATACGGTAACCCTCGCATCGTGGCATGTCAAAACATCAATATTAGCCACGACATGACGAGCGTTCAAATTGTCGGCACAATGCACGTCATGACACTCGCATGCATTCTGTCGACAATTTGCAAGACTTGTTACGGCACACCACGGTGAAGGGTTAACGTGTGAAGACAAGTCATTACATGCCATGCACTTTCCTAACACTTTACCTACCATTTCAGAAATGTAGGAAATATATGAAGCGTTCTTACTGGTAAGAACCTTCGCAAATATTCAGCTTCAATTATGAATGTGTTCTTCTGGGTAAGAAGTTGTATAAATATTCAGCTCGGATATTGAACTTGTTCTTACTGGTAATAAGCTGTGTAAATATTCAGCTCAGACACAATGAGGCATCTCGATTACCTGCTGCGGCCTCAAAAGAAATTGGTCTATAGAGAAGCCATGAAGATTTACGCGCCTTTAGTTCATGCTGTCGGGACCAAATTGTTGTCATTGTAGCTGCAGGATCTCTCGTTTCAACAATTGTCTCCACATTTCCCACGCACATTACTTGTTAAAGACATCAATTTTATGATCCAAATCTTCATTATTTTTCTCAACAGATTGAATTTATGCGTAATTCGAAGAACAGAGACGAGCGGTACAAGACTGTGTGAATGAGAAGCTTCAAACTGCAGACAACAGCAGACAAATGCAGCAGCTTGATCCAGGTACACGTTGAAGATCTTGGCAGCAGCCTTGCAAGTTAGATTTCTTGCATCTGGCTGAAGACTTGTAGTAACCCTATCATTCACGACAGAAATAGATTATTTCAACAGTACGTAAAGTTATCTTTTTTTACCCAGGTTAAAGGGCTTGGAGCATATGAAACGAAGCTGCAAGTGCTAGAGTTAAGGGTGGCGAGTGACTAGTGAATTTCACACTCCGTTTTCTCCTTCTGAACTCCTCCCCTTGTTTATGTCGCTTGATGTTCTTGATTCTTCAATCCAAATCATAGAAGAAAGAACAAAAAAAAAAAAAAAACTAGTGCGTGGAGTAAAAAAAAGGAGTGCGGAAATCACTTCGTGAGGCTTAAACTACATAGCTGGACAAGGATGTTTTTCTTGCAATCTGAATCATATTTCACATTAATTTACTTGAGTCTTACAAAGTAACACTAAACATTACATCCAAAAATGAAAACCTACATGAAAATGTAATATATGGATTCTATATCTACATATATACTAATATATATCCACACACACACATTTCTAATCACTCAGCTAGTCAGCAACTCTTGGCTTGGGGGAACACCTAAATCATTTGAAAGCTTTTTACACAACTGCACATACCCAAAAACTGGATTTAATGCCTGAGATACAAGAGATCGAAGGGGCGTAATGTAAATTTATGCGAGAGAGAGAGAGAGAGAGAGAGAGAGAGAGAGAGAGAGAGTACATACCTGTCTATATGCAGAAGAATCACCACATGATTTTCTCAACTCTACTACAAACAAAGATGGGCTTATCTCAAACACCTGATACAATTAAGGAGACAATTGTCAGTTAATTTTCACGTAAAAATGTAAATTTTTGTGATTAGATATTAATTAAGAATTTCAAATGCATGCCGGGTAAAAATATTGTTTGAGGAAGAAGTTCCTCCAAAAGTTTGGAAATGAAATTTACCTCTGCTGCAACTGATAGACTGCCCAGACTTCTCTCCCCTTTGTGTTCTTGCATCATTTTCAACTGAAATATCAGACAAAACATATAACGATATTTCAGTAGATATTTCACAATGAAACCGACAAAATTTGTAGCGGTTTATATAATTGAAACAAAAGTAGTTTCAGACTTGTGTAGAACAAGAGGGTATACACAATACTAACCATTCCATTTTTCTTCTGGACACAATATCCCATCTCCAATACAATTTCTTCGATTTTCTCAAGCAAATCTTTAGCAGAGTGGTTCGACGTAAATCTAATCTTCCTCTCAGACGCATCCTAAATTAACTCATGCAGAATGCAGATATCGCAATCAGATATAATCTAGAACTTTCATCTTCAGTAGAAAATCGATACATTCAGTGCCAAACAAGAAGATAAAATCATTTTCTCCTCACCTCTTTCTCAAAGAAGCCGGAGAGGTCTAGACATGCGGACATTCCGATCAACTGAAAGGCATTGATATGCGTGTACGGGTGCTGGGCGTCTGGACTCGTCTCCCCCTCAGATGGCTATACCAAAAGAAATAACTCTCAGTTATAGCACAGAGAAAAACAGATAGTTGTACCAAGAAGAGTAGACAACGGACATGTATTGCGAATTCATACCACTTCATGTATTGAGAAAGCTTCATCGTCGATGTTTTTATCTTCTTCTTCTTCATCAGGATTTACGGGAGAGTAGTCCTGCTTGAACCATTCGTCTGACTTGATGCCGGTCATTGTTATTCTGGTAGCGGGGTTGGGATCGAGAATCCTCTTAATCAAGTTTTTTGCACCGGGTGATAACCATTTCGGTATCAAAGTTTCCCCCTTCAAGATCTGTAATCCCTCTAAAAATCTTAGGAACAAAGCGAAGGAGTGCGAATAATAAAAGCTCCTCACTCAACAGAAGAAAGATTCGAAGAGAGTTTGTCGATACCTTCTGATAGAGAACTGCAAGATTTCTATCATCGAAAGGGAGAAATCCGGTGAGAATGACGTATAAGATGACACCACATGACCATACATCGGAGGTGGCACCATCATAACCTTTGTTAGCAAGAATCTCGGGGGCAACATAGTTGGGGCTTCCACAGGTTGTATGAAGCAAACCATCTTCCTGATATTTCAGAAACAATCAAAGGGTTAAATCACTCATACTCGACTCGGAATTCAACAGTTCAAAGTTCGGTTTGGAAGAGTAATGTACCCGAAAATCCTGGGGCAAAGCGCTAAGGCCAAAGTCCGATATCTTTATGTTCCCCTTAGCATCGACAAGAACATTCTCCAGCTGCAACCAGAACATACAATGTTTGAAACGTGCGCGCAAACTGGAACACACAATGCAGTTTGTTCGAGCACCTTATCATAAAAATTAATGTTTGGAAAATGCAGGATGTACCTTAAGATCCCGATGGGAGACGCCTTTGTTGTGACAGTAGCTCACACCGTCGATTAATTGTTGGAAAAGCTTCCTGCCTTCGGTCTCTGTAAGTTTTCCGTTGTTTGCCTGCAGCACAGAGTGACATATTAGTATAATCACAACATACAAAGGAACTCATATGTTTTCCATTAAGTGCACGTTTGATAACCATTTTGTCTTCGTTAAAGGCTGCTTAAAGTAAGAGATCCTTACAATTTTGTCAAACAATTCGCCGCCGATAACATATTCGAGGACCATGTAAATCTTGGTTTTGCTTGCTACAACCTGCATGATAAACATGATTTCATGTGAGGAGTCATTCCTTTTTGCAGACAAATCACAGTGCGATATATGTGGACAAAAAAAATTATTTTAGTGATTTTAATGAGTTACTTTTGCATACATGTCAGACCGCATTTCCTCTTTTCTAAAAGGCAAAGCGAGTGGTTGTGTAATTGTATAAGAACCAATACTACATATAAACTATTAGTCTAGCGGCAGTGTTGGACGAGGTTCAAGAGTTCAAATTACTCCTTCCCAATCATAAAGGAAAATGGAACAATTCTACTTTGTCAAATTACTCCCTTCATTTATAGTCGTGTGTGAGACACCTACGTTTTCTCCGAAGGCCAATTCTGCCCTCATACAGTCATCACCATCACGCTAAAAATTCTCACCTTCCATTCTTTTTCTTATTAAAAATCATTTATTTATTCTAATTTACTTTATCATTTCCGTCTTGATTAGTCTTAAGCTAAACATGAAGACAGTTTTCCTAAACAATTGCATAAGATGATTATTACACATCCTAAGATTAATTTACAAAAACCCTAGCGGATACTGAAAATTTTTTTTAAGGTACTTAATGAATATACCCAAGTTACTTGATCCAATCATTTTCGTTTGAGTTTTAAGAGAAAACTAATAAAAAGTCTTCCACAAAACATTTTTTCATCAAAAAACACTTTGTATTAAGTATACTTTTCGTGTTATAATGACAAAAAACAAGAAGTGACAGAAAATTTTGTAAAAATATCTTTCATAATAAAAAAAATTATACTGAATGATGAACAAAATTGTCTACTTTTGAATAAAAAATGTTTTGCGAGAAGTTTTTATTAATTTTGTATAATTAGAAGGGTGACAAATAATAAAAAGGTGTGGCGTACCATCGAGTGGGTTTACGGATGGACCTTATCCACCAAAATGCTTTCATGTGGGACCGCAATCTAACACTCTGACAAGGGATTTGGACCCTAGCCGGATTTCCTATCTAGAGATCTTAGGGATCAACGAATACAAACTATTGATAAAAAATCATACGATCACAATTTTTTTCTTTTTTGTATTTTTCATGCAAAACAATTGTACTTTACTTTTAAAAATATAAAAAACATTTAATTGGAACTGCACGATTTTTTTTATCAAATGTCCTTGTTCATTGATCCCTACGATTCTCAAGAAAGGGATCTGGTGAGGATCCAAATCCCTCTGACAAGCTAACAATATAGACACGTGGCTTGAATGGAGGGGTTGGGGGTTTCAGGTCGGATTTGGATATCATCCAGATCATCGTGAAAATTTTAGAGATCTTTACATCTTAACAGTTTATTGTACCTTCATACATTATTTAAAATTTATTTATTTAAAATTAAGTACAAATAATACCTAACAAAAACTGACTATACGATATACAATAAACAATCATAATATGAGAATCTCTAAAATGTCTACAAACACAATCCAAAGAGGATCCTCATCCTTCCAGGTCAGTCCATGCAAAAACTGCCGCAGCGAAGTGGGGATGATATTTTGAAAAGAAAACAAAAAAGTGGGGATGATATCAGTGGACACGTGGCTTAAATGGACTGGTTGATGAAGACTTGTATGTGAGAAATATCCCAACCGTCCAACTTTTCATTTCAGCCAAGAAAATGTTTCACGGCTGATGTGCACTCAGGTTTCAATACTCTCCTAATTAACACTAATTAATGTTTCTTAGTACTACGATCTTGTGATATTTCTCTTCATTTATAAATAAAAAGTCTTAAATTTTGATTTTCGCAAAGACAAATTTGAACTATATTATTACTAATATATTGTGAGGCTAAATCCTTCCTTTTTCCTTAATATAGATAATATCGTTTGTTCAAAAAATCTAATTACTATTTGAATTCTAACAATTAACAAATTCTTTGATGACAATTATTGCAATTAGAACAAACAAAATACTATGTGTTAGCAGAACATATAAACATGTACAATGTGTGATTTAAATTGTCAGTCCAAAAAAATAGCATACTAAAAACGATAATCTTAAAATGAATGATACATGTTATTTGGAATGCAGTCCCTTTGGTTAGCTACTAATACTATTTTAAAGGCGTATTAGCAGGGTCAGCTAAAGTAAAACCAATAATCCTCCTACACATGGACTCATGATTTGGTGCGACTATTAAAGCATTAGTGCGCTGTAAATCCCAAATTATGGAGGACTAGAGATTATGTTAATAATAATTAAGGATCAATCATTGATCAGATAGTAATAATTCCAACAAGATGCGAGGATCCTAAGAATCTATAAATCGTGTTCATTCATCATATATTTGTCAAGTATTATTTGTGTTTAATTTAAAATAAAAATATTTAAAATAATTACTGACCGTAATCATGAACGGATAGAATCTTTCAGATCCTCACAAAGAAAATCGGACGAGGATCCGGATTCGTAATAATTGACATAGAACAGAAGAACATTGTCATACCTCATGTAATCTGACAACGTTTGGATGCTTCAGTAGTTTCAATGTTCCAATCTCATTCTTTATCTGCAAATTTTCAGTTGTGTTAAATTGTTAATGTGTTGTTCAAATTTGAAACAAACCAACCGCGGAAATAAAACGCAGTTAGATCAGAGTAGTTTGAAATTTATGAGCACAACCCAGAAATCCCATAAACGAAAAGATTGGCACTTGGAACAAAAATTAAGATTAAAAGGAAAAAACAAGAACCTGGTCGGTGAATTTAAGGTCAATAATTTTGGTCTTCTCCAGAATCTTAACAGCAAAGGACTGGCCGGACTCTACGTTCTTAGCAAATTTGACTTTCCCGAAATTACCCTCGCCAAGTGTCCGTCCAAGCTCGTATTTCCCCAGTCGCATTCCCTTGTTACCGTAATTTCGACTGTTGCTCGTGTTCTTGTCCTCCTCTCCTTTTCTCACGATCACCATGTAATCACACGCCTCCTCTGTTTTTTCTGCGCAGAGGAGTTGCAGAAAAATCTCCTCAGAAAACAAAAAACGAGTTTCCGAAACCTGTTTCGAGAAACGATCGATTCAAAAACGCAAGGCGGAGAAGAAGCTAAAACGAAGCAGAAGTCCGAAATCCCAGAAACAGACGCGTATTTGGAAACGATCTCTCTCTGCGTTGGAGTTGTATGCTTGCTTTATATAAAATGGGGGATGAATTATGAGAAAGGAACTTCAGTTTCTAAATAATTGGAGGAGTCTTGTATTTATGCAGATTGGCAGTTTATACAACGCATTATTTGTGGGATAAAAAAGCCAGAGGGGTAGGGGAGCTGAACCGTAATTATGATGGAGACCGTGGTAAACCTATGTAAAACTAGTTGTAATGTCCCATATAAAACACATTTTGACATTGAGAAATCTTCCAATTGTTCGGTAGTCAAGCGGGTATTTCACGTGTTAAAAAATAAATAGAGGGACGTGAAAAAAATATCATTTCCTCTACTTATATTCTAACATGATATAAAATACCGTTTAAATATTCGTTACTTGAAAAAATCTCTCATTCACAAGAGAAAATATTATTTAAGAGTGACACATCAACCATATATAGAAAACAAAGGTGGACAAGAGAGTTTTTTTTACTCTAATATTTTTATCATTTATTTTATTGTATGAATCTAACACCAAAATCTATATAGTAGTAGTATCATTTGGTGATATCTTTTTTATTTAAGTGTGATGTTTTAAATTTGACACTTATAAATGATGACGTTGATACCAAATTATTTGTGTTAATCATCTTTCTCATAATTGCACGTTCCATCCATGAAAAATACTTTCATAGCATAAGTACATCGTCAAAGTAATATCACGTGTCATTATTACAATCACATGTAATCATATTCACCCATACAGGGAAATGTATTTCTCTAGCCAAATCTAGAAATTGCCAATGTAAGTAAGCAATATAAAGCCATCAATTAATGCTTCATTTTAAGACTAAAATAACTTTTGAGGTTGACGATTCAATTTCGTGTCATAATCTTCACTTTATTAAAAAATATGCTCTATTCAAACTAACAAATCGTGAACGAGAGAGTTTGATATCTTACTGAATAACACAAAAATTAGTTTCAATAACGTTTTCGACCTTTCCACAAAGGGAATCGAAATTAAAATAAAAAAATCGTATACCTTTCATTTATGAGAACACAATGAAGAAATTATAAGATTCAGAAGTACATGATGAATATTTCGCAATTTCAATAACAATTTTTACTCTCTATCTTTTAATGATCTTTTATATGAAACTTTACCTAATCCTAGTACAGATAATCAAAATTATAAGATGTTTAATTGGTTTGGATTGCCACCAATAGGATCTGGAGATTCTTAAATCGTGTTCGTTTATCGTACATTGTGCGGTCAGTTTTTGTCAGGTAATGCTTATGTTTAATTTTAAATAAAAATATTTAAAATAATTTATAACCGCACGATATACGATGAACAGACACGATTCATAAATTCTTGAAATCTTCATAAAGAGGATCCAATGAAGGTCCAAATTTGGATTACACGGATAAAATATAAAGCGTGTTGTTGGTTGGATGACGGGGTTCACGGCAGCCTTGCGGGACTTGGACAACACGAAGACCAAGATTGTATTAAAGTGTTAGCCACGTTTTTCTTCTGTTTTTTACTTGCCAATCACCATCTTCTCCTCACCCACAAAACCCCCCCAATGCACTCTCAACCCTACACCCCTCCAAATGCTTTAATTTTCGACCATAATTTCAACTGTATATTATAATTATATTCCAACTTATCATGAGATAAAATGGTGTTAGCATACTTATTATTTCATTAAAGTAATTTTTTTGAAGAGTCTTAATAAAAATGGTGTTAGCATACTTATTAGCTCTGCATCTCTTTCTCTATCTTCTTTTACCTTGTAATACATATTTGTTATTTCTCCTTTGAAAATTTGAGGCTTCCAGTATGGCTGATGACTGAGTTTTATCTTACTGTAAATATGCATTTCTTCTTCTTCTTCTGCTACTAGTATCATATTATACCTAAAATCTTCAAACTCATCTAAGGCTAGCATTTGGATCCCTTGAAATCTTATAATATTTTTGTATGAAGGAGTCCACTTATGTGGGCAGATAGAGGATATTCTAAATGACTCTTCATTAATCATGGCTATATGCCTAACTTTCTCTTTATGCATAAGTTCATACCAATATGGAGGACTGCTAGTAAAACTTATGCAAATTTGTTTCCGCTGTTCTAGATAATTTTCTACTACTTTTATAAGTTTTCCAGGAAATGATTCTAATTGGAAAATATGATTAATGAATATTTTATCAAGATAGCCAAAATCTAATAGTAATGTTGGGGTAACTTCTACTACATTATGATTTTTCTGATACTCATAACTAAAATATCATAGTTTAAAATCTCTCATATTAATCCTGACCACAATTATGCTAACCTCTGGTTTACAAATACAACTCTTTGTACTATCACAAAGAAATGGTGGATACATCTTTGTAATAATATCCATCTCTGGTTTTGAATCAAAGATGGACTGATACAAAGCACATTGTAACTCTTTCATGGACTGTGATGCTCTGCTCAATATCTCATTTTGCATATCTAGTGGCATTATCCTTAATTTTGCTTTTGAATTTTCTTCTAATACGATATCATTTATTATTAAGTCTAAATATATATTTCTAAAAAACTTTCATATCTTTCTTGTTTTTCTTTGTCACTCAGATGCTGATGCTACTCATTATTTTGATGTTGCTCCATTTCAATGTTTTCTTCTAAGAGCTCAATCTTAATCTCTTCTATGGGTTCATTAGCCTTTTGTTCTATGAGTTCAATAACCTCTTTTTCTTTATTCTTATGTTGATCAGCTTCCAAACCTATTTTTAATTCTCTTTTTAAGGTGTCACTTACCTTGTGTTGCATTCTAAGAGATTGGAGTTCTTGGCTCATTTTGATAAACTTACTAAGTAATAACTTATGTTCTCTAGAAATGACTTGAAAGTTGTGCTCAAAAGAATGAATATGATATTGGCTTTGATAGAAATTAAAATTAAAACTATCAAACTCTTGTTCTAAGGCTCTAATTAGTTTTTCATGACCTAACCTTATGCTTGGCTGTTTGATTTGGATATTCCAAAAATTATCTAAGATAACTTGTTGCTTATTAGAGAGTTTTGATACCCTTGGCCTATATCTCAGAGTTGGATTTCTGATTCATTCAACAAGAGTGTCATTAAAGGTGAAAATGGGTATTGATGGTGGTGTTGGTCTGCTTATGCTATTTTGGAATCCATTGAATGATGGAGGTTTGTGGTGCATCATTATGCTATTGAAATGTGCTCTTGAATGATGGAGGTCCGTGGTGCATTATTATGATATTGAAATGTGCTCTTCTGCCTTGTGGTCTTGTGTTATTTGAGGATGATGGTCCACGATATTCCATTCCTATTCAACGAATTAATCTTGATAAGATATCAGTTAATGTATTATCGCTACATTTTATATGTTCAAAAATTAGTTTAAAACCATTTCCTATAATTGAATCAATAAAATTAACCTATCATCGGGCTGCCTGTTTATTAGCATGTATCTTGTTATAATGAGAAACTATATTTTGACAATCTGTTCTAATTGTAAATACTTCATTATGTAAAAGTAAAGAAAATGATTCAAATGAGTTAATTATTCCTAAAATTTCTAAATCTGTTGATGGTAATCTTAACTGTATATCATTAAATTTTCATGATGAATATCTACAAACTTGTTCGTCAGACTTTGATGACTCCTTATGCTTTTTCTGGTATAATATATATGCCCATCCTAATGATAAAGCATTTGTTTCAACTATTTTGTGACTATCATGTAATGGTAATGTTAATGGCTTAAATTAAGTAATTTTTTCCTTTATATTTTGAACTAATTTAATATCTTCACTATTAAAACATTTTTGTCCTGTTTTGCTAATTTTACTATGTAATACTGCTATTTTTCTTCCTAAATCAGGGATAAAATTTCTTGCATAATTTAACAATCCTAAAAATGCTTGTAATTGTTTTTGGTCTTTTAATTTATCTGGAAATTCTAAGACTTTTTTAGCTATAGGATATTGTAATTGTATTGTACCTGATTTGATAAACATTCCTAAAAATAAAAGAAAAATTAACAAAAATGTGCAAACTATAATATTCATGTTCTTTGAAAAGGTGTTAGGAATGTACTTAATGTTCTTAATATGTTGCCAAATCTTCGGGTCAAAAGATAATTTCCACAAATCATGGCTTAATTGTTCAGAAAATACTAATGCTCAAACTAGAAATGATATTGTGAATGTTTTACATATTCAACATAAAACTAACATCCGCAAATATTTGGGCATTCATAATATTTTGTTTTGGAAAGATCCAATGAATGAATGTGAATTAATCAAAAGAGTTAAGCAAAAGCTTGCTTGGTGGAAGACTAATACTCTCTCTAAGGCAGGAAGACTAACCCTTATTAAGTTCAACTTATCTAGTATGTTGAACCATATCATGTCTTGCTTTAAATGTCCTACTCGAGTAACTAAGAACTTAAACAATGAGTGTGGGGACTTCTTTTGGGGGAGAGATAGGAAGTTAAAACCTATGGCTTGGAAAAAAGTGTGTACTTCTATGGATCAGGGGGGTTAAGTGTAAGAAGAGTGGATCATTTCAATAATGCATGTTTGGCTAAGTTTGGATGGAAAGTTTTAAAGGATGAAAATAATTGGTGGGTGCAAATTGTTAAAAGAAAGTACTTAAAGAAGGATGATTTTTTTTTAGTTGCAAAGTCAAGCATAACCACTCTTTGGTCTGGAAAGGGATTTTGAATAGTAGACATGTTATTTACAGGGGAATTAGATGGGTTATGGGTAATGGTGAGTATATCCTTTTTTGAACCCATCATTGGATTTTTCCTTATCCAT